TATCTATCTATCTATCTATCTATCTATCTATCTATCTATCTATCTATCTATCTATCTATCTATCTATCTATCTATCACAGCTGCTAACATGAATAATCATTTGTTAATAGAGTTACTATGTGTTTAGGTATAATAGATTCATTTTGCTTTGGATTCATCTATAATCTGCTTAGCTTTGCCATTAATAACTGCTATACAGCATCCCAGATCTATGAAAATATGCTCATATTTCTATATTATGGGGAAAATTCTACAACCCCAGATACAGAAATTAAAAAAGGCTTAATACATTATTTTAAAGTCCTGTTTAAAAGTGGTTTATTCTTTAATGATGTAAATTGGTCAGATGGGTACTTAACTTTGCCTGGATGCTGCCTAGTATTTTCACAAGAAAGTCTAGGGAATATTACTGGGTATATTTAGCACTGGTTTCTGCTCAAGCCACTGTTTTGCTCCTGTGCCACATATTTCATCTACCATAGCTAGATGATTAATAGGAGGCTAGCATCGTGACTTTTACTATGGTTAAGTAAGTGCCAGTATTTAGCTGGCACTTACTTAAGAAATGGAGTTGATGCCGGATAAATTTTGTTTAAATTGTAATGATGTATGAAAGTAATAAAATGCTGGTTTCTCAAATTCACATGTGAATTTTACATGTGATTGGTCACTGCTATGAAACCTCCCCATATTTTATAATATATGTATTGCTTGATTTTTTTTTTCCTTTTAGGCTTACAAATCAGAGTTTTTCTTGACATCTGAGAGTTACAACATTAATCATTCATTCAAAGAGCTGGCATGTCAACCAAATACCCCCATCTCCTGCTTCATACAGTAGATAGCCACATTTATGTACATTTATAAATGTTTATAAATGCACAAATTTGATGTGCCCTCATTTGAAGTGAATGGACACTTGAGTTGGGCAACATTAAGTTAAAACTCTTGAGATTCAACTGAACTCTTGAGATACAGTTTATTGGATGCAGACTCAAACAATGCAGTTTGCTTCAATGGTTTATTCTGGTTTCAGATTAATTAATAGTTGTGTTTCCTTTCTGCTGTTCAATCATTAGCAGTTGAAGAGACAGCTAACCTGCCTCCTTCTCCACCCCCATCACCTGCGTCAGAGCAGACTGGAACCCTGGAAGAAGGTAAGAATTTCCTTGGGTTGTATGTGCAATGTGGGGCGCATTTTTAAGAGGAGAAATTCAGGGACCCTAGTGAGAGAGAAGGAGGAGGGTTCTTTAAGTCTTAACTTATAGGCAGGAGGGTTTTCTGACAATAACCAAAAGTGTATGACAGAGCAAGTTTAATATAAATTTGTATGTTCTATATGTAGGTGTACACATGCATCTGTACATTTAAGAAATATAAATGAATATGAATTATGTATTTTCTTTTTACCCTATGAATATTGTAGGTCTGTGTTAGCTTTACAAATTTCAAACAGAAAAAAAGTTTCATTGGATGTACTCATAGTGATTCTATGGTGAATAATATTCTTTAAAGTGGTCTCTCCTATGCTATTACTGACAAAATCATTGTTTCAACATCTGAGCTAGGCAAGCTTCATTATGACACAGGATAGTTAGCTGGAGAGGATGCTAAGGTTATATTTTAGCTTTAAGAATGCTTATGTTTTCCAGCAATTTTTAACACATGAATTTGAGACTTCAGTTGGCTAAAGCATTTTTTATTGCCATATTGCTAAAAATGTTCCAGCACTGAACTTCTTCCTTTCCAAGATTGTTTCAAATCTATTTTTTTAAACACAAAACACATCTAGTGTACTAAAACTGGAAAAGTCATTAGAATTAGATTCTGAAATATTCCATTTGTTCTGAGATTATATATAAAGAAGAAATATACAGAATTCTGTTTGCTTTACCATATTTGTACTTATTCTGTGAAGATATGTTTAGCAGGAAGTTATTAAAGGCACAAGAGTATAATAGGGAAAGAAGTGGGCAAACTAAATTATGTTCAATTTTTGTATTTCTTTTGGGATCAACATTTCTTCAAATAATACTGCAACCCCTTTTTCTTTTTATACTTCCATAAGCTAATATATTTCTGTGTCTAAGTCCAGGGAATGGCCTTGAAGGACAGGAGGAAGAGCCCCTAGCAAGACAGTGGTCAGATAAGAGGGACTTGAGGCTGGGTCAAGAAATTAGTTTGAGTAAATGCCTCAGACAGGCCCCTCCCTAGTTCACAGTAAGATAAAGTGAGGTAGGGGGAAGCACATTCATACTTGCAAGATTCTGTTACTATAGCTGTTACAATAAGAATAGTCCTGACCTATATGACTTTGGTTTCTTAGTCTGGTCTACCTTGTGGGGCTGATAGTCCATTAGGGCTAAGCTTGTTTTTAAATTGGTAAGGTTTAAGATGCGAGATTATGATGAAATATGATTATTTACCCTCAAGTTCTCAAATTGTGGGCTTGCAAGCAACATAGGTGGGGACTACAGGATTTTTTAAGAGCTGGTAGCGCTTGTGCAAGCACAATGGGGGCACTGTCCAAACCTGCTCCACAGGTCTGGTCATCTGTCAAAATCATCCTTAGTTACAGAAGCGCTGTGATTTCCAACTGGTTTAGTAACAGCTAGTGACTTCTGGTAGGGTGTGTATATCTGAAGTCTTTGAAATGTCTGTGGAACAGATATGTGAGACTCAGTATTGTTATTCATTATTTAACATTTTTTAGGCTTTCAAAATGGAAAAGTCTTGTTAGGTGGTAAGAAGAAAGCTAATCAGTCTGTCTATAATGCTGATAAAATTAGCCTTAGAAAATACAATGGAGGTTTTTTTAGTAAATCTAAGTAAATGGTAAGTCTTCAGTAGTTGGCAGGACTGTAGAAAGTCTTTTAGTAGATAGTATACTTCTTTGTTGCCCAGTCCTAAGCCCAACAAAGTCCTTAGTTTTACTCATGAAGGAGGCACATAAATTCATGTATCATCTTAAGGAGTTGTAGTATCATAAAGTTACTACAAAGTATCATATAGTTACTATAAAGAGATCCTCTGCTTCAAGGTATTAAAGAGGTTGTAGCCCTAAACTTTTGCAATTTAAGTATGCAGAAAGATTGAGAGGAGATTTGTAATACTACATACATATAAAGAAACTGTCCTAAAGATGTTTGAAAATATTTTTTTAAACATGGAACATCTAGACCAAAATTATCATAAATATTTGCTACATTTTCAATTTCCATAGGTGCTGTCTTTTTCAGGGAATTTTAACATAAATCTAGGATGAAACTATAAACATTTTTCAACCATTGGAATGATTTAAAAGATATTTCATAACTGACTTTCAAGCATTGTGGGATTGAGTCTTTTTACCTTTTAAAATATGGCCACTTGAAATTACAGTAATTCAAAGGGAATTACACACTACAGTAACAAACATAAAGGGTTTCCTTAAGGTCACTATGATCAAATGTCCTTAAGATTATTCTTAATGATTATATAACCCTAAGAATACAAAAGAAGGAATGGATGCTTGACAACTGCGTGTGTTAAAGCAGTTTCACATGAGGTGCAAGTTGCCTGAAGACATAATTCCATTTTATTGTTTCCATAATAATCTTTTTACTCCATACAAGCAATATTCATTAAAAAAAATGATCTGGGTTGAAATAATCACCTCATTTGTGTTGGACTGAATGGGCAGATCTGCATTTCAGAAGGTGAGGTTGGAGATGGATAGGATAGGATAGGATATAAAATCAGTTATGTTAGCATAAATCCATTACCTATTCTATAATTTGTAGAATTTTTATCCATGTTTTTGATCATGTTTATTACTGTGATTTTAATTATGTTTATTATTGTGATTTTATCAAAGTTATACATTTTAAATCACATTGATTTGAATGAATTATATATGTCCCATTGAAATTAATATGACTAATTTTACTTCGATCATATTTCTTTTAACAGAAACTTGTAATTGGATACTTTTATCCTTCATAGGGATCAATCTATATCTTCACTGTTTTTTAAAATGTACATTTCAAGAAATCTTCTAAGCAATATCACCATTAGTTCTGTGTATAAGATGGGATGCAAAATTTGGGTTTGATCATGTGAACAAATGTTTGATGAGGTAAAGAACTGTTACATTAGGTAATACTTCAATAATATTCAAATATTCCTTTAAATATATTGATTCATATTGACACTGATATTGCTAACGTAGAACTATTAATTGATAGTCATATTACTGTTACTATTTTATTTTTAAAGGGAGGAATGGATGCTGTTGAATGTAGTTTCAGTTATCACTAAATTATCTTTCTTGCAGCTCCCAGAAATTGTCCAAAAGAGAGCCAAATGTGTATTGTATATATTAAATATAACCAGGTTGGAAAAATACATGTTATTCAACTAGCTAAATGGAAATTAATGACCTTTTCTCTACTAGTTTCCCTATGTACACTGAACATGTTGAACTATTATATAATTTCCATTGGCTCAGTTTCTTATGCTAAAATATTATCTAAATTACTCCCTTTGCTCATAGGAAGAGACCTTCTTTCTCTTGAGATTTTTTACAGCATGCCAAAGTTATTGGTCTGTATTCTGATGAAAGTTTAACTACGACCATAAAATTGGCTTTGAAAAGTGCTATTGCTTTTCCACTAATTTAAGTTTGTATAATCCTAGAGCAGATTAATCTCCAGGAGTTTTAAGGCTCTCAAATGCCAAATGTATTTAACTGCCAGTTTTTTCTTTTTTAAAAAAATGAAATATCCCTGGGTCATTGTGACTCAGTAGATCAAGTTGTTCCTAGGGTTCCAACTGGTAACTTGAATTGGTTATTTCTGTTTTTAAAAATATGTATAATAGAGAAAATGATGCTTGTAGAAATTAATCACAAGGTGAGAATATTTGTGCAGGACCCTGAAGCTATAATTCAAATATATTTATTCAGATTGTCTTTTAAGATCGTCTCCATTCTTTACCTCAAAACTGCAAGAAAACAGTATCTATTTTTGTTATTTCTTTCAATTGTACATGCAATTTAGCTATTTTCTGCAAAATTTTCAAAACAAAAAATTCATAAGAAAAATCCAGCATAAGCATTTTTATTAGTTTGATTAGGCAGAAGGAAGTCCTGCTGAACATAGCAGCAGTTGCTCTTTGGTACATTAGTTGTGTCCAAATTTCAGCCAAGTAGATTAAATTATAGAGTCTGAGTTACTTAAGTGGCTGCCAATGTCCATATAACCTAGTTAGGATCTTATGGCCTCTCAATAGTAATGCAAAAGATAAATTTATTTCCAACAACAGAGGAATACAGCAAACAATCTTTAAGATCCCCTCATCTCTGTCATCCCTATTTAAACAGGATGTTTAAAAATGATTCTGCTTAAAAACATCTCCTCCCATCTTTAGAACACATTTTAAAATTGTTCTCCTCAAATACAGTTCTTTCATCTTTAAAATGTGTTTAAAAATTAATCTGGCTATCTCCCTTGAAAGAAACCAGCCGGAGGGTGGAAGTCCAGTGGCTTGTACCACCGGTAGCTCTGTGAGGTAGGGGGCCCTCATCTGTCAAAAACCAGATAAAGGATCATTGAGACCTTGTTTGAATTTTGGCCATAGAATTTTTTCCACTCCAATTTAAGTAAGTGGATATATTACCTCTCATCACCAGAACTGCTGCTGTTTGATATGGGATGGATTTCCCCTACTTATAGTGGATTTCTGACAAGAATGTTTCTCTCCCCATGTAAGTCAATTAACGTATCATTTGAATGGCTTGCATTTGGGTAAAAGGATCTCTGTTGCTGAAGCTGAAGAGGAGGACTATCCTATCTGAGCTGTGAAAAACCCAGCCATCACTGGATAGCAGCAAAGAAATACGGAAAACCCTAAATCTGGGCTGCTGTCTAGGGGTGGTCTCCTCTCAGATAGCCTTGGTGGAGGGGGGGTGCCTGGTAGATACTGAAGTATGACCTGGTAAGTGACCCCCAAATCTCCAGATTAATTTTATTGTTTAGTCATGTGACCGTATCAGTGGGGAATGAAACAATAGATATTAAAACAGGAACAGGAAATATAAAATCTCAAGAAAGAAAAGAGAAATCTGTGTCAACTTAATTCATAGAGTTTAATCACACTTGCAATCAACCCCAATCTG